GCCTGAATGTTCCACTCTGTGTTTGAATCTCTGGGTTCATCCTGGCTCCTGAACCGGCATGGGCCGCCCGGGGGTGCCTGGCCAGGTGGTGGGTGGACATGGAGTCAAGGAGGCGACAGCTGACCCCCACGGTCTTCCTGGATCTCCACACTTGTGACTTTGTTGAACTTGTCTTTAAGATGAACTGTGGTGGGGGGTGGAGATAAATTAGGAATTTGGGATTAGCAGATGCTAACTACTGTATATAAAATAGATAAACAACGAAGTCCTACTGTACAGCACAGGGAGCTATATTCAATACCCTGTAATAGCCTATAATGAAAAAGAATGTGAAAAAATGTGTGTGTATTTCTATGACAATCTAAAGGGGATGGAGAAAGCTTAAAAAAAAGAATCACTGTGCTGTACATCAGAAACTAACACGACATTGTAAGTCAACTATACTTCAATTGAAAAAAAAGAAAAGGAAAAAAATAGGATGAACCCTCTGTCTGGACGAAGGTCATCAAAGGAACACAAGCCCACTGTAGCCAGTGCCAGCCCGAGGCCCTGGGAGGGCGGGAGAGTGCCTCTCTGCAGGGAAGAACAAATTCATATTTTTCTTTAGAGAAAATGAAAAGCGGTGCTGGGTCCAAGCAGTAGGTGACCTTGCTGTTGAGTTGAAATACTGCTGGGGAAATGAGAGAAGATGCACATGAAAAGAATGCTAATGAATGGGGATGGTGGACGGGAGCCCAGGGCCCTGAGTCCCTGCCATCCACAAGGGGTGCCTATAAATAGACACTTAAAAACCGATTCTAAATGGAGTTGAGATGCGGGCCGTTTCCACTTCTGGAAGAGTGTTATGTAAGGGGCTGGGGGCCCGCTGTCATCCCAGACTGCTTTGATGATTCCCTGCCTTTGTTGGGAGCCCGCGTGGAGCCAGTGGGAGTGCTCCGGCTACAGGGGGATGAGACTGTCCTTTCAAGAGACTTGCAGACCGAGGGCAACAGAGGGAGAATGGTGGCTGCCTGCTCCGAGTGTGGCTGGTCCTGGAGATGCTGGACTTCTGGGTGGATGGGCTCCTCCACAGGCCCATGGTGTTCGGGGCGGGGGTGGCTGGGGGCCCAGGATGGGAGGGGTGATACAGGAAAATGTGGGGCAAGAGGATGGCCATATCCCAGGTCTCAGTTGAGTCTTGGGATGCACCCTGCCAAGTGTGGATTCTTGGCTTCACACAGGAAAGAATTCAAGAGCGAGCCACAGTTAAGTAAAAGTAGATTTATTCAGAGAGGTACGTACTCCATAGACAGAGTGCAGGCTGTCTCAGAAGGCGAGAGAAACGCCACGAGGTGTGGGGGTTGGGTGTTTAGTTTAAAGCAAAAGTAGACACACTCCATAGACAGAGTGCTGGTCATCTCACTCAGAGGGGAGAGCGGCCACGAGGTGCGATATTGTTAGTTTTTATGCGCTCGGTAACTTCATATTCTAACAAGTGGGAGGATTATTCTAACTACTTTGGGGAAGGGGCTGGGATTCCCAGGAATTGGGCTGCCACCCACTTTTTAACCATGTATGATCAGCCTGGGAGCTGTCATGGCGCCTGTGTGTGTGCCATTTACCATGTTAATATTACAGTGAACATATAATGAAGCATAAGGTCTATTGGAAGTCAAATCTTCTGCCATCTTGGGCCTTAAGGTCTACTGGGAGTTGAATTCTCTGCCGTCTTGGTGCTAATGGCTGTGTCATTCCTTGAATGGCTGTGCCCTGCCCCCTTCCCTCCTGTCTCAAGGGGAGGGATGTGTGTGGAGAACTCCAACCTGTCTGGGCTGGGAGACTGAGGCTTCTGGCCCCTTCCCTCCATCCTCCTTGGTCACGACTGGCCAGACCTGGGGTGGGGGATGCTCAGGTTGACAGAGACCTTCCGGGCTGAACTGCTTGAGGTCACAGAGCAAGCATGTGACAGGGCGAGGAACTGAGGCCCCAGCTCATGGCTCCCAGGGAAGGGTCCTTGCTGCTGGACGTGACATTTAGGACACGCACTAGCCTGCAAGTCACTTCTCTGGGGAGCCAGTCGCTCAGATGGTGGGGTTTGGAGGCAGGAAGGACATGGCCCCAGCTGGTGTTCGAGAGGTTTTTGTGGGATTTCACCTTCCCACCCTCCTTTAAGGCCGTTGCACATTTTACACGTGGTGATGTGGAGGTCGATGCTGGGAAGGGATGTGAAAGGCAGCAGAAGCAGCTACCCTGGGACTGAAATGGAACAGCTCTGCCAACCTCAGGTCCTCCTGAGTAGAGGCGAGCAGGTGACGCTGTGTGGGCTGCTCAAAACGGATGCATCTTCAACCTTCCTGGGGACAGACCATCATTGTCCTTTGTCTGATCCGGAGGCATCTGCACTGTGCCTGTTTTGCGTGGCCCCCAAACTCCCAAATTAAAACCCACTGCTAGCAACGTCTGTCCAGGGGGATGAGAGCCACTGTCGGGCTTCCTTAGGAAAGTGACAACACGGAGTCCA